GAATAGCATGTGCAACACGAGTTCCTGGTGAGCTTCTGCTGCTGGGGTTGGTGCACTTCGAGAGATTGCCCCCCATTTTCCCTGGAGTCCGAGGGAGAGCTGGCACCCCAGGCCAGGCCTACTACTGGGCAGAGCTGAGAAGGGCTAGTTCAGAGACAGAAAAAGGCCCTCAGACTGGGGGACGGAGCCATCTCTGGGGGCCTGGCCCCTACTCCCTTTACAGGCCTGCACCCCGAGGTGGCAGACCTGCATCTCCAACACGGATGACGCCCTTGGCTTCGCTTTGGGGTCCCTCTTTGTGAAGGCCACATTTGACCGGCAAAGCAAGGAAATTGTGAGTTTCCGACACTACCTGTTGTTGATTTAAGATTTACTGTTCATGGGGAGCCAGCAGTTAGCATAATGGCTATGTCGCTGGACTCCCATGTAGTCGACTGCAGTTCGCATCCCGAACCCGGTGGCTTAAAACTCACGCCGGGCGCGTGTGCATGCGTGCCCAAGATCCCGAGAGGAGAATGGAGGAGAAGGGATTGCGGCGTGACCATCCTCTCTTGGGGGGGTGATTTCTCGCTTTCTGTCTCTATGTCTCTCTCTGTCTGTCTGGTGAGCGCATACGCCCTATAGCAAAAACCTCTCCAAAAAAAAAAGAAAAAGATTTACTGTTCATGTAGCCGTGTATAATACAAATAGAAAAAAACTGGAAGGAAGTGTCTAAACAGAGGAACGGGGTAGCTCTGGGCAGCGGTGTCAAGGAATTTGTTTTGTTTTGCTCTTTGAAGCTTCCCGTATTTTTAATTTTGTGTGAGTTTATGTAATAGAAAGCAGTGTTTGTTTATTTACTAGGGGAAGATAATGGGTGCACTTTGTCACAAGGATGTTTATGGCAGTGTTGCATGTTGTTTATAACAGGAGGAGGTGAAAATGGTTTAAACGTCCAACTGTAGGGTAAAGGCAAAACACAGTAGTGGTTAGGATGGATATGAGGCAGCCTTGAAACTGAGAACATATCTTTATATACAAAATACTAGGTTACACAGATATGTTATTCAACATAACGCCATATGTGTGCGCGCGTGTGTATTTATGTACATAAATACACCTGTAGTCTCAGCCACTTGGGAGGCTGAGGCAGGAGAGTTGCCACACAGCAAGACCCTGTCTAGAAACTGCCCCCCCACACACACACACATAAACACTCCATGTCCCCCAAAGTGTTTTTTTAAGAGGTTTTTGCCCTAGGGTGCATGCCCTTTGTGGGAGAGGGAGATAGAGAAAGTGAGAGGGAAAGTAAGGAATCACCCCTCCCAGGGGGCATGCCCATGCTGCAATTCCTTCTCCTCCCAGGATCTTGGGCGCGCACACACACACGAGCGCAGCATGAGTTTTAAGCCACTGGGTCCAGGATTTGAACCGTGGTCAGCCATGTGGGAGTCCTGTGATGTTACCACTACACCATTTGGCAGCCCACCCCTCTTAACTTAATGTCATATCTGATTGATTGGATTATAAGTGGGCTGTGTTCTTCATGATCAGATAAAAGTCAGGGCACTATATTAAATTATATTAACCTAATTTGTTATGAAATGTTTAATTAGAAAAGTCCACCTATAATCCCCATCCCTTCATCCTTGCCAAGGTGCTCAGCTTCTTTTTTTGCATCTGCATACCCGCATCTGCTCTGAAGGGACAGGGCTGACCAGCACAGGGTGGGTAGGGGGCAGGAACGCACGGAGTGCAGCCGGAGGCTGACTCACGTCCCGTCCTCCCAGGCAGAGGGGATGATCAGCGAGATCCGGACTGCTTTTGAGGAAGCCCTGGGACAGCTGGTGTGGATGGATGAGAAGACCCGCCAGGCAGCCAAGGAGAAAGTGAGCCATGCCTAGAGCTGGAGCGCCATCTAGAGGTGGGGATGGAGGACAGTTTTGCTGGGAGCCTGGGGAGGCAAGCCCATAACCTAATCTCTCTAGGCAGATGCCATCTATGATATGATTGGTTTCCCAGACTTCATCCTGGAGTCCAAAGAGCTGGATGATGTTTATGATGGGGTGAGTACCTGAGCTCACTCACACTGCCCTTCCAGCCCGTGCGGGGCACTGCTCCCTGGGCCCAGTCACTGGCGCTCCAGCACCGGGAGGGAGGGGGTACTGGTTGGCTCCTTTCAGTGCTAGATTCAGACAACCAACACTACGCAGTATATTGGCTCTGTCCCAGGTCACAGGCCAAACAGCAGTAAAATAACAGTGGTAACGAGCCTGTGATATACATCTTTAAGTGGAAAAAAAAAAAAAAACAGTAGGGTATAAAACTGTGCCGTGGGCTGGCCGGCGGTGTGGTGGGTAAAGCAGCTAGATCCCACACGGCTTCAGTCCCAGACCCGGTGGCTTGAAGAACACGCTGGGTACATGTACACGCATGCCTTAGATCCCCAAAGAAGAAACAGAGAAGGGATTGCGCCATGGCTGTTCCCCACAGGGAGATGGGGAATATGTTCCCTCTCTCTCTCTGGCAAATACACACATTCTCTGGCAAAAATGTAAAATATGCATATGCCAGCTGATGGCATGGTAGTTAAGGAAGCTGGATCCCACAAGTGAGCTGGATGATGTTTATGATGGGGTGAGTACCTGAGCTCACTCACACTGCCCTTCCAGCCCGTGCGGGGCACTGCTCCCTGGGCCCAGTCACTGGCGCTCCAGCACCGGGAGGGAGGGGGTACTGGTTGGCTCCTTTCAGTGCTAGATTCAGACAACCAACACTACGCAGTATATTGGCTCTGTCCCAGGTCACAGGCCAAACAGCAGTAAAATAACAGTGGTAACGAGCCTGTGATATACATCTTTAAGTGGAAAAAAAAAAAAAAACAGTAGGGTATAAAACTGTGCCGTGGGCTGGCCGGCAGTGTGGTGGGTAAAGCAGCTAGATCCCACACGGCTTCAGTCCCAGACCCGGTGGCTTGAAGAACACGCTGGGTACATGTACACGCATGCCTTAGATCCCCAAAGAAGAAACAGAGAAGGGATTGCGCCATGGCTGTTCCCCACAGGGAGATGGGGAATATGTTCCCTCTCTCTCTCTGGCAAATACACACATTCTCTGGCAAAAATGTAAAATATGCATATGCCAGCTGATGGCATGGTAGTTAAGGAAGCTGGATCCCACAAGTCCGACTACATGGTTTGAGTCCTGGACCCGGAGACTTGGAAAATACACCACGCACATGTGCATATGCCCAAAATCCTGTATAGAGGAGAAGGGATTGTGGGGGACCAGCAGCTGGTGTGACGTGGTCACTGGACTCCCATGTAGTTGACTGCGGTTCGAGTCCTGGACCTGGCAGCTTAAACTCACACTGGGCACATGTGCGTGCATGCCCAAGATCCCAAGAGGAGAATGGAGGAGAAGGGATTGTGGCGTGACCATCCCCTCTGGGGGGTGATTTCTCGTTTTCTATCTTTATGTCTCTCTGGCAAGCACACGTGCCCTATAGCAAAAGCCTCTCCAAAAAAAAGAGAGGGGATTGTGGCATGGCCATCCCTCCAGGGGGGTGATCACTGTCTCCAGGAAGTGCACATGCCCTACAGCAAAAACTTGAATATATATGTGTGTGTGTGTGTTAAATAAGATAATTCCATATTTGGAGTCAAATCCTGTTTCTATCCTTAACTGTGTAACCTCTCTGAGCCTCAACTTCATCTGCAAAATGGGAGTCCTGCTAGTACCTACCTCTTAAGAGTTGTTATGAGAATTGAAAGAAGGCAGTGTATAAAAACTATAGCATCTGGGACCAGCAGTTAGCGTAATGGCTATGTCGTTGGACACCCACACAGTCGACCGGGGTTCGCGTCCCAGACCCGGTGGCTTAAAACTCACGCAGGGCGCGTGTGCGTGCGTGCCCAAGATCCCGAGAGGAGAATGGAGGAGAAGGGATTGCGGCGTGGCCGTCCCCCCTGGGGGGTGATTTCTCGCTTTCTGTCTGGCGAGCGCACGCCCTATAGTGAAAACCTCTTAAAAAAAAAAAACAAAAACTATAGCATCTGCCACAGAAGTGCATTTACGCATGGACAGTCGTTACTTACCTTCGTCACGTACACCGTTTCACAGTTGAGGGAGCAGGCTTGGAGAGGCGCTCCTGAGCAGCTGAGCCTGGCCTCTTCCCCGACCTGGTCTCTCGCTTGCTTTCTACTCCCCACCGTGCTCCCAGTATGAAGTGTCCGAAGAGTCTTTCTTCCAGAACATGCTGAATCTGTACAACTTCTCTGCCAAGGTGATGGCGGACCAGCTCCGCAAGCCGCCCAGCCGAGACCAGTGAGAAGGGGCAGCAGGGCGGGTGGGGGAGGCTTCCTTGGATGGGGAAGGGTAGCAAGACTGACCTGAGGCCGGAGGCACCGAGCCTTGCAGGAGGTAGGGCAGGGCCGCAGGCTGGAGGGGACCTCAGGAGGGTCAGAGCCTCAGCCCCCTGCCCCTGCGCCCCCAGGTGGAGCATGACTCCCCAGACAGTGAACGCCTACTACCTTCCAACCAAGAACGAGATCGTCTTCCCTGCCGGCATCCTGCAGGCGCCCTTTTACGCCCGCAACCACCCCAAGTGTGTCTAAGGCAGGAGGCGCGGGGGCTGGCCTGGCCTGGGTGGGCTGGGAGCAGGGCTGGAGGTGGCATGCAGACATGTTTCCGTGTCCTCACCCAGCACTCCTCACCTACCAGGGCCCTGAACTTCGGGGGCATTGGCGTGGTGATGGGCCATGAGTTGACACATGCGTTTGATGACCAAGGTAGGGGCCCATGGAGTTGTCTTTCTAAGTCCCAAATTCCCAGCAGCTCCTGCCAGGCCTTGGGATGTTGGGGAAAGACCCCTGGGGCCCTAGAGTCTGTGGTCTAGGACTGGAGGTGGCTCTTCTGCACCCCAGAGTGAGCTCTGGTCTCAGTGGGGTGCAAAGGTGAGCTCTCCTAGGGCGTGAGTATGACAAGGAAGGGAACCTGCGGCCCTGGTGGCAGAACGAGTCACTGGCAGCCTTCCGGAACCATACGGCCTGCATGGAGGAGCAGTACAACCAGTACCAGGTCAACGGGGAGAGGCTCAACGGCCGCCAGACGCTGGGGGAGAACATTGCGGACAACGGGGGGCTTAAGGCCGCCTACAATGTGAGTGGCCCAGCACGCTGGGGCCAGGGCGCTGGTGGGAGCGGGCAGGCCTGGCGGACTTGCTCCTGTCGCGACCCCAGGCTTACAAAGCATGGCTTCGGAAGCATGGGGAGGAGCAGCAGCTGCCGGCCGTGGGGCTCACCAACCACCAGCTTTTCTTCGTGGGATTTGCCCAGGTACTGCCCACAGAGGCCAGGCTCTGTCCCTCCTTCCCACTTCCTCCTGGGAACTAGAAGTCTGTGGCATGCAAACAAGGGGCTGGGAAGGGGGCCGAAGTTGGGGTGTGGAAGGGTGGAAAGGCCTCGTGCCCAGAGCCCCCAGAGCTCTCAGCTGGGGTCCCTGAGAGCAACCTGAGCACTTCATAGATCTCAAAGAACAGGGCTGCCTGCTTGAGGGAACAGGGTGGGAGCCGGCTCTGATCTGGAGGTTTGGAGGAGGTAATGCTCAGGACGTGAAGGGGTTTGTCCAGGGCCACCCAAACTAATGCAAGTGGTAGCCCGAGGACTCCGGCAGGACCTCTAGGTGCTGTGCACAGCAGCAGGCGGCCTCTGGGGGCTCGGCTGTCCGCTGGAGCCATGTCCATGCCGGGTGACCCACGCCCAGCACAGCTCTAGAAGGGCTTAAGGAACCTGGAGGGAAAGTGTGTGCCCTCCCTGTGCTGACGGCAGAGGGGCGGCTGAGGCCTCCCGAGGAGCAGAGGCACGGGTGGTCTGCGCCCCGGGCTGGCTCCATGCTGGGTACCGTATGTGTCTGCCCCGGCCCGCAGGTGTGGTGCTCGGTCCGTACACCAGAGAGCTCTCACGAGGGGCTGGTGACCGACCCCCACAGCCCCGCCCGCTTCCGCGTGCTGGGCACCCTCTCCAACTCCCGCGACTTCCTGCGGCACTTCGGCTGCCCCGTGGGCTCCCCCATGAACCCGGGGCAGCTGTGTGAGGTGTGGTAGACCTGGGACGAGACAGACATGGTCAGCTGTCACTGGCTCTGGGCAGCTGCCCGAAAGGCTTGCACCCAGGTTGGGAGAAGACCGATGCAAACCAGGCTGGGGGCAGCCCCTCCACGCCCACAGGTGACGTGAACCCTGGCTCCCCTCCAACCACGCTGTGCCTCTGCTTTGGGGGTGCCGCGCCGCCAGCAGAGCCTCCGCCTTTCACTGTGACGTCCTCCATGCTGCCCTGCCTGCCTGAGGTCTGAGGGGGTGCCAGCTCCCACGGGAAGGAGCCTCCTGTGGCCCAAGCTCACTGAGCTCGGTGGCCGTGGAGGCTGTGCCTGGCCCGCGCTGACCATGCAGGGCCTGGTGCGCCTCCCTGGCTTCTCAGCGCTCCCTTAGGAGCGGACGCAGCTCCCTCCTGCAGCCCTTGGGGCCACTCCTGCCCTTGTGCTTGTGCTGCTGTCCCCATACTGCTGCCAGCCTGACAGGCCGGCTGTGCTCAGCTCCTAGGGCCGGCCAAGGGCCCCTGGAAGCCCTCCCCACCCCACCCCCGTTTCCCTGGGCTGACGGAAGTGTGGATGGGTAAGGGAAACTGGCTCTGTGTCTGAGGGGTGACCGATTGTCCTGGACCAAGCAGGAGAGCAGCCAGAGCAGGGAGAGGGAAGGACAGAGTTTATTTTCACAGGGGAGAGGGTGGGTGGGTATGGTCTCAGCCCTGTAGGACCCTGTGCCAATAAACAGACACGTATCTGTCACCGTGTCTCTCCCTTCAGCCGTCTCCATTGTTCATTTACTCACCATTTACCATTATTTACGAGCAGGTACTATGCCAGCCACTCTTCTAGACACTCATTTACTCGCCTGCCACATACACGGGACGGAGGTTCGAAGCCCTGAGAAGGCAGGGAGAGGCAGGGCGGAGGAACGGAGCGGAATGGGGTCTGCCGGGGTGGAGTCTGCCCTTCGCTCCCTGGGGGGATGCAGCTGGGCCTGACACTGAGTGTGGGTGCCACTGCACCAAGGACCAGCCTAGGAGGTGGTGGCCCTTCCCCGCAGCGGCGGGACCCTGGCCAAGGTAGCACTCGCCACTCCCGGGAGCTCAGAGCACTGGCCCCTGCTTGTGGCCTCAAAGACTCAGAGCTCTGAGTCAGTCACCCCACCCACACCCGTCAGGCCTGCCACGTGCCACACGGAGACTGCAAGCATGGCTCCGCCCTCCAGAGCAAGGGGCACGGGACACGGATCCACTGTCTCCTGCGTTTTAGGCCCCTGCGCTAGGTGGCTCATTGCTTTCCTCGTTCATTCATTTATTAATGTATACATCATAGGTTTATTTTTAAAAATATATTGGTGACCAGGGCCGGCAGGTGGCACGCTGGACTCCCACATGACCGACCGCAGTTTGAGTCCTGGACCTGGCGGCCTGCTTCCCCACCTTGCCTCTCTCTCCCTTCCCCTCTCTCTCTCTGTCTCTCTCTGTCGTGTCCCTGTGGTGAACATTCTGACCTATAGCAAATTAAATCATGATCATAAATAAAACTTAAAAAAAAACCACTGATGACCAACAGCGCCAGGCCCCGGTGATGTGAGGGGAGTAAGAGGACCCCCTTCCTTCGCTGACGCTCCTGGCACTGTCACCCTCACGGCAGCCACGCTTCGTAGGTACTTTCGTCTGTTTCACAGGTCCGAGCCTGACCGCTTCCTCGCAGTCAAAGACGCCTGGATTAAAACAGGCTCCGGTCTATGAGTTTAGGCCTGTTCCCTCATCTTCATGCGCCTCAGTCTCTTCATCTGTAAAGTGAAAACTAGAGTAAAACAGGGGAAGAGCCCAGTCTCGATTCCCTAAAACACAGTGCTCCCCTCCCAGGTGCAAGGACAGCTGGGTCTGTTCAGCGTGAGGGGAAGAACGAAGCTTTGACCCTGATTGCTGCTGTGGTCCCCGGCCCCCGGGGTAGCACTAGCATGTACCCCACAGCAACTCAGGACACCACACTGCTCCCACGAAGAGGAACGTGGGTCCCTGTCACACTGTCGGGAAGTACTGACTGCTCACCAGGGGAGGAGACAGTGACTGCTCAGGGAGGAGAAGCACGTCCTGAGTGTTCTAGTCCCTTCTGCTGCCAATAACGGAAAATACCTAAAAGCGAGTGATTAATAAAAACAGGTTTAGGGGGCCAGCAGGTGGTGGTGTGGCTAAGGCGCTGGACTCCCACATGGTCAACCACCGTTCAAGTCCCAGAGTTGGTAGCTTGCTTTCTCACGTTCTCTCTCTCTAATTAGCACCTGTGCCCCATAGCAAACTTTAAAGTAAAAATAAATAAATAAATAAATAGTTCTTTTTAAAAAACGAGTTCATTCAGCCGATAGTTTAGAAGTCTCAAGTGCAGGGTGGGGTCTGTCTGCCGCATTACAATACGGCAGAGGGCAGGAGAATGTGGTCTGGTCCAGGTGTGTCTCCTGCCTCCTCATACTCCCACCAGGGCTGAGCATGGGGACCCTGCCCTGATGAGCTGAACCCCGATCCCTTCCCCAGAACCGCACCTCTTAACACCATAACTGGATCAAGTCCTCATCCTCTCGATCCCACCACGACGGCTCGATATTCACATCACAGCACCAACCAAAGGTCAGAGCCAAGTCTCCGAGGTTATGGCTCCAGGGTGGAGGGTGGACTGGAGGAGGGGGCCGTCACATGGAGACTGCTCTGACCCCAGCTCCACCAGCCCGTGTGACGCCAGGCAGCCTCAGCCCCTCTTCACGTCTACCCTCAGGAGTCTGCGGTAAGCCGGCTGGCTGGCATGACTGCTGAGGGCCAGTTGGCTTTCTCTTTTCTTTTTAGTTTGCTATCGTTTCTTTTTAGTTTCCCTTCCCCTGGGAAGGAGGAGGGGGTGGCTGGAGAGGGAGAGAGAGTGAGACACCCCCCCTCAGAGGGAATGGCTATGCCACATCCCTTGTAGTCGGCTCTCCTCTTAGGATTTTGGGCACATGTGTACAAGTGTTTGGGTGTGTCAGGTCTGGGATTTGAACTATGCACTCAGCCCTATGGGATCCAGCCACTTTAACCACCATGCACCTAGCTGGCCCCCATTCAGCTTCGATGCTTTACGAGTATGTTCACGGACTCGGCAAATTCAAGAACCTAGAGAGGAATGAATAAGTGGCGTGTGATGTCTGGGTACTGCGCAGATGAGGCTCCCACCGTCGGAGACAGAGTGACTGCCGGGGGAGGCGTGGCAGGAGAAAGGCTTGTCTTCCCTCTGACGCCTGGTTTCAGGGCCCAGCTTAGCATCCTGACGCATTACACAGACGTATATCCTTCAGTACTGAAGCTTCTTTTAAAAATTGCCAGAGGGTGTATGCAATCGCCAGAAAGAGAGAACGAGAGAGCGAGAGCGAGAGCGAGAGAGAGAGAGCGAGAGAGAACAGCCCTCGACGGGGCGTAGTCATACTGCAATCCTTTTCCTCCATTTCTCCATCCTGCCGGGATTTGGGGCATGCATGCACAGGCACCTGACATGTTTTTCAAGGCCCTGGGGCCAGGATTTGAACCATGGCTGGTCATGTGGGATCCCGCTTGCTATACACAGCACTTCAGCACTGTGCAGTGAGGCCTGGAACATACGAGTCAAAAGGCCAGCACGTCAACCAAGATTCCTAATTCCCAGCTTTCATTTCCTGAGTCCCTATTTTGCTTAAGCTTGTGCTAAGCACTTTAAAATACCACCTCGTTAAATGTCCACGACGATCTATACAGAGCTGTTAAACTATCTCTAGTCCGCAGGAGAAGCTAAAGGAAAGCATGGCAGAACTTGCCCCGTCAGGCAGGACAGACAGCACTAACGTCAGACCTGGGGCTCGATATCCTTCATCGCCACGGCTGGTCTTCTAAGCCATGCTAGCGTTTAGGCTCAAACACAGACTCTGTCTCCTAGGCAACTTCAACCTGCTTCCAAGTGGGACCCGCACTAGCAGGGGCACTTCCACACACCGCGCCTCCCCTGGGCCGGGCACACGTGCCCCCGGGCCGCTGCAGGAAGCCTGAGCACACACACAGCTGGAGTTAAGCCAGGCAGCACCTGTTTGTGGAGCACCCTGCAGGTCCTTGGTCCTAGAGGCACGGCAAGTGAGCACCAGGTAGCAGAGGTAACCTCGGCCTCCAGCAGCCCGTGGGGGGACGAATGTGCATCTGCGATGCGCTCTGGGGTGTGGAGGCAGACGGGAGGAAATCTCCGGGTAGACACACGGGAGCATACACTGGTAAAGTCCTGGGCCGTCTCCTACTCCGTGCCACCGGGAAGTCTGACGAATCTTCATCCTCATCCACAACAAGGTAACGTATGCCAAAGTATGATCTCACGCTCGAAAGCATGTGGAAGTGACAGGCTCGCAGAAAACCCTCCATAAAAATAAGCAGTTTCATTGGGCTTGTCAGGATTCACAAATGGAGAGCCTGATGATTCCCCAGTGCCCAGCTCTGGGCTGCAAAGGGAGCCCCTGGGGGTCATTATTATATGCCAAGATGACCTTAAGATTAATATTAAAACGTTAGTTCATAATTCAGCAAATGTTTGCGGCAAGCCAGGCATCCGGCTGAAGGCCAGCCCCAAAGCTTCCGATTAGCTGAAAGGCCGAAGGGTGCTAGGGGCACCAAGATGACAAGACGCAGGTCCTGCCCTCCAGGAGCTCAGAGCTCAGGAAGAGGAATGTGCGGGCATGGTGAGCACACGGGGTGGAAGTGCAGAGTTGCACGGTGGGTAGGAAAAGCTTCCTAGGCAAGTGACAGGGAGCTGGAGCTCAGAGGATGGGAGCGTTTCCAAGCTGGAAACGGCGAAGGGCACTCCACATGGGAGTTGCGATGTGAAGTGTGACCAGCTTAAAGGGGTATGGCATGTTGAGAAACCGTGAAATGTTGAGGATGATGGGGGGGTGAACGGGGCGTAGTGAGAGCCGAGAGTCTGGAGATGGGGAGAAGTGATAGTAGGTACAAAAAAGAGAGTTGTAACATCCACTGTTGGTGCCAGGAGTTAACAGCAAAACGGGTCACACGTAATCTGGCTGTTTGAAGAGTATCACTCCAAAGTAGCAAGCTCGTGGACACAGTGCAGTGCTGGGCCGGCCAGGAGCCCACCTGGTGGCTGTCAGCAATGGCTTTGGACTGAATAGACCTCAGGTGAGTGAGCCCCCTGTCAGACAGCTCTACAGAGCTGGCCAGTTTGGGGAGGGGTGGCTGCCTGGCAGGCTTCTGGACGCAATTCGAAGGAAGGAGGTAGAATAGGGCAGGTAAAGACTTGGCTCCCAGATGGAGAACAGTTTGGCCTCAAGGCTGGGAATTTGGCCAAATGGTAGGAAGGAATACCCCTGGGAGGGCAGTTTGTCTGAAATGAAGCTTGAGGCAGGGCATCAACATTATCAAGGGTCTTGAAAATAACTGTCAGATATTTGCATTTGGCTAGAGAAGCTTTGTAAGCTTGAGTGCTTGGAGGTGGGGAGGAGACAAGAACGTTTAATGCAGCCCTACAAATTTGAGGTAGTTGGAAAATAAAATGATAATTGCCTGCTGAGCACTTTATATATATTGTCTCGGGACCAACAGTAGGCATAATGGCTTTGTCGCTGGACTCCCATGTAGTTGACCGTGGTTCGAGTCCCGGACCTGGCGGCTTAAACTCACACCAGGCGCATGTGCGTGCGTGCCCAAGATCCCAAGAGGAGAATGGAGGAGAAGGGATTGCGGTGTGGCCATCCCCCTGGGAGGTGATTTCTCACTTTCTGTCTCTCTCTTTCTGGCGAGCACATGTCCTCTCTAAAAACAATTATATTGTCTCATTTTGTTCTCATAGTAGTTTTTAAGAGAGATACTTTATTGCTCAATTTTAGATGCAGAAACCAGGCTGAGAGAGGCGAGGCAGCTTACCCAAGTCCCACAGGGGGTGACTGGCAGAACTCTCAAGCTTGTGTTCTCCCATTCCCCAACTTCTTTTTTTTTTTTAGTCATAGGGCACATGTGCTCAACGGAGAGGGTAGGGATGGATACAGAGACAGGGAAATTGAAAAGGCACTCCTCCTCCCCAGGAGGAATGGCCACACCACAATCTCTTCTCCTCTTGGGATTTTGGGTATACACACATGTGTCCAGCATGGTTTTCATGCTGTCAGGTCTGGACCTCAAACCTTCGTCAACCACGTGGGAGCCTTAAACACCATGCCACCTGCTGTCCCCTTCCCAACTTTGTATTTTGAAACATTCCTCTCACAGAGGAGTTGAAACAGCTTAAAGTCCCCAGCTGGTGAACAGGCAGTGCCTAATGCTACCAGATTCCCTCCTCCCCTGGGCCAAGACCGTCGTATAAGACAGAATCAGAGACTTAACAGAAGAAAGTCACAGGAGAAGGAGTGATTCAGGAGAAACCCCTCTGTACGCCACTGAAGAACGCGTGAAAATACGACATCCTGAAAGCAGAGACAGAAAAAAACAGAAAAGCTACGACCGTCATTCCTGTCTACACACCAGGGATGGGGGCCAGCGGCAATGGAAATGGAAGGTCGTCCCTAGAACTCCAGCATTGAGTGGGGATCAACACACTCACAGCGGCTCAGCCCTTCGGTCTACACCTGTACCAGCGTTCAGCCCGCGCACTGGGGGCTCGCCAAGCGCCAAGCGCCAAGCGCTGCGGAGTTCCCCCAGACTTCACTTTCTGCACTCTTTAGTGGGCCGAACCCATAAAACAGGACAGAGGCCGGTGGCGCTCCACCCTTCTCACTGTTCCCACTTTCTAGACGCACATGTATGGCATAAGCTGACTAAGCTGAAACTCCGGGGTGTGCCTGGAACAGTCGAGGGCACGGAAGGCGGAGAGACCGAGGCTCAAAAACTGCTTCTAGACCACTTTAAATGACTTATTCCGTGAAATGGACACAATCCTAGCATCTCAAAAGGCTGTGAGAAATTACATATATGATCGCTCAACTGCGTCACAGCTCCTTCTAAGTCACACCAGGGACACAGCCCCTTCTAAGTCACACCAGGGAAAAGAAAACCAAACAACTTCGTCCTGTTCGCTTCTAGGCCCAGAACTTGCTGCCTGGTGTCTGCCCACCTAGCTCCCAGAGGACTGGGAAGGTAGCCGCGCGCTCACGGTAACACGGCACTACCCCCGTCCTTGCACGGGGGAGACGGCACGAGGTTAAAACCGCGCGGCGCAGATCACACGCACTGCACACAGAACAGTCAAGGTCCCGCGTTTGCAGACCGTGGTCCGTCTGTCTGTACGCCAACGGGTGTCACCGTGAGTGCCACTCGCCCTGCCGAGATAACCTGCGGGCGAGGGCGCGGCGGGCACCTGGGCTCGCGGCCGACTCAGCCGGGAGCGCGCGCCTGACCCGTGAGCACGGCGCCAGCGGGCGGGAGACCGGGAACCGCCCGAGCCCGCGGCGTCTCCGCGCGCGAGGCCGGGAACCGTCGTTTCCGCCGGCGGGGGGGCGGGGCCCGGGGGGGGGTCCCGG